CCCCGGGGACCCCCCAGCCACAGGAAGGCCCTCCAGCAGTCCCTGGTATCCATGCTAGTCCCATGCCAGACTCACTGTGATCATAAGACAGTAGTTCTCCTTGCAGGCCCCACAGCAGCCCACCAAGGCCACGAGGAAGAGAAAGACACCCACTGCAATGATGACCACAGGCAACAGGGAGACGGGGGAAGCTGGATGGGTTATGGTCTGACTCAGGACCACCTGGGCCCCTACGCCCACGACGATTAGTCCCACTGCACAGGCCTGAGAGAGAGCGGGTGAGAGTTAGTCAGACGCATACCCAACAGCCCTCCATGGTGAAGGGCAGGGTGCACTTGGAACCCAGATGACACCATTCAGGAAACCTCTCACGCCTCCAGGGAACTTCCGAGTTGGGGTGGTGGAGTGGATGGCCATCCCTGCACCACAGTGAGTGTGGAGAGCTGTTCAAGGCACTCAAGAACAGTCAGGAGCCACCAGATGAGCCATGAGCCACGAGCCACACCTACCTTCAAGCAGTTCTTCAACCAAAGAGAAGTTCCCAGAAAGCGCTAACCCCAGGACACGCCTTGACCCAGAGCCGTACTTTCTGTGGGCTCCAGGGTTCTCAGATGCGTTCTCTCCCAGAACTACCCCTCACTATGCTCCAGTGCCCACCCCCTGTAGTCAGCCCTACCTAAGGTCCACAGGCCAGGGAGGAAGAAAAGGGGTGTGCCCCTCCCTGGACAAACAGCCTCTAGAGCAGGGAGCTCAGGGCTGGAGCAAACTGAGGCTGGCACTGTCCTTCCCACGGCCGCTGGAGAGGAGTGGAGGAAAGGGAACGCAGAGGGACGAGAGGGTGAGCAGGAGAGGGTGGGACACGGAGGGAAGCCCCAGTGATAGCATCAGGCCGTTGGCTGGTTGCCCCACTGCCCTGTATCACAAGCGGTTGGGTCACCCGACAGGAAGGGCCGGTGGGGGTGGGGGTGCTGCGCATCCAGGAGGGCCATTCCGGGTCTGACCGGCCTCAGTTCCCCAGGCTTCCCGTCCACATCTGGTCTGCTGCTGCCTTCGTCCTCGGTCCCTCAGTCCTCACAGTCTGGACCCAGGGCTCCCCAAACCCTGCCAGCGCACCGCCCCCCTCCGCCACCGCTCCCCACTCACGCAAAAGGCCAGCAGAAGGACGTAGAGCAAGAACTTGACACATCTCATTCCTCCTTCCACCGCCATGGCTGCCGGGCCTGG